TGTGTAAAGGTCAGACTGTATGCTTGGGAAGCTTCTCTACCCAGTTTGCCCAGGTGTCTCCTGACTCATGATTTGTTGCTGAATTTAAATACACAGTGAGGACGAGCTTCCCCAAGAGTTAGTGTCCAGATGGATATTGCTCCTGGGATCTCAGAAACAAGGGGAAAGGGCAGATACAGTACATGTAATTTTTCAGTTTACCCCACAGCTTTGGTGTCATACTATAAAGATCCACTGTGGTGGTTTCTCAGATTCTCACCACCCTTATGAACTTATAGAAGTAATGGTATTCACTACCAAAATGGAGTATTCTGAAGACTAATAATCTCAAAGAGGAACAGCAGCTGTTCGAACACTTCTTACTCTGCTTATATCTTCTTATGCTTAGTGATTTTATTATTTTGTCTTGGTTTTCTTTTCTATTGTTGCGAGAAACACTATGATCAAAAGCAACTTGAGAAGGAAAGGGTTTTTATTTCCCTGCACTGCTTATAGTTCGTCATAAAGGGAAGTCAGAGCAAGAAGTCAAGGCAGGAACCTGGAGGCAGAAACTGAAACGGAGACATTGGAGGGCTGAGACTTACAGGCTTGCTACTCAGGCTTATGTTCAGCTACCTTTCTTATACCTCCCAGGACCATCTGCCCAGGGATGATACTGCCCATAGTATCTGAGCCCTCTCCCATCAATCATTAATTTAAAAAATGGCCCACATGCTTGCCTGTGAGTCAATCTGATGGGGACAATTTCTCAATTGAGATTCTCTCTTTTCAGATGACTCCAGCTTTTGTCCAGTTTATAAAAATCTAAGCAACACTTTCATCATCTGTCACTAGAGGAAGAGACTACACAACTCACTCGAGATGTTTTCTTGATAAGCATGAGTGTATATGTATGTTTTTTGACTCATTATAGCCAGACAAGTTAGAAAGGAAGAAGCTGTAGAAAAATAAGTCAGTTTAATGGCTCCTTGGAGATTTCCATAAGTCAGTTATGTATCTCCTTTTGAGGATCCCTCCTGAACTGTAAACACTGGTGCTAACAGTTACAGGTCTACAGGCCCACAGGACGCAGTGACTCTGTGGATAAGGTGCTGAAGCCAAACCTTTGCCTGTGTCCTGCTGTTCCTTGCTGGTTGCATACCATTGGGCAAGGCCTTAATCTTGCAAGGCTTCATTTCTTTGGAAGCAAAATGGGGCTAATAGAATTCACCTCAATAGAATTGCTCCAAGGCTGAAAGGAGATCATCTGAGCTGATTGCTCAAGTGAAACCTGGAAGAAGTGTAATCCTTACTGTCACCATATCTATCCCCAATGTATCTTGCAGATAAGAAAGGCTCCCCTGTTTTGCAGCAAGCGGAGGTAGAGCTCATAGATCAAACTGTCTGTGTTTCCACCTACGGGATCATCACTTCCCGGATGCTCTGTGCAGGGGTTATGTCTGGAAAGAGCGATGCCTGCAAAGTAAGTCTTCCTCCTTCCCCTTACCTAACATGCCATGCTTTCCATAAATGCGTTCACATTTCAGCTACACAATACTGGCACTATCTAGGGCAAGTCTTGCCCTTCCTTCATCTGAGTTGCCCAGATACTAATTATGATTCCATTGCCTAAGACCAGGGAAGCATGGAGAAAGAATGGGTTTAAAAAATTACCATCCACTTATGAGTGAGTACATACCATGTTTGTCTTTCTGAGTCTGGGTTACCTCACTCAGGATGATTTTTTTCTAGTTCCATCCATTTGCCTTCAGATTTCCCGGTGTCCTTGTTTTTAACAGCTGAGTAATACTCCACTGTGTAAATGTACCACATTTTCTTTATCCATTCCTCTGCTGAGGGGCACCTAGGTTGTTTCTAGGTTCTGGCTATTATAAATAAAGCTTCTGTGAACATAGTTGAGCAACTGTCCTCATGGCATGATTGAGCATCCTTTGCATATATGCCCAGTAGTGGTATACCTGGGTCTTGTGGTAGATTGATTCTCAGTTTTCTGAGAAACCTCCACTCTGACTTCCAAAGTGGTTGTACAAGTTATGCACTCCCACCAGCAATAGTGGAGTATTCTCCTTGCTCCACATCCTCTCCAGCATGAGCTGTAGCTTGGTTCTCTTGTGGGACTCCGAACAGAAGGAACAGGTACTGTCTCCAACTCTTTAACTGGCTTTTGGGACCCTACTCCTTGTACCGGGTTGACTTGCCCAGCCTTAATACATGGGGAAGACTTGATATGCTATGTTTTGTTGATATTCATGGGACACCTGCCCTTTCCTAAACATAAACAGAGGAGGAGTGGATGAGGTGGGGGACAGAAGGGGGGCTGGGAGGGACTGGGAGGAGGGAAGGAAGGACAGACTATGGTCAAGATGTAAAATAAATGAATAAATAAATAAATTTATTAAAAATAAGGAATAGACAGAAGAAATTTCCACTGACACATAGACACATACAGAGTGCCCCAGTGTTGCTACTTGTTCCCTTAGCAGCAGAACTACAGGGTTCATTTACCTGTTACTCTGATGCATAGTCTGGGGAAAGGAAGAGAAAGGAGGCCGAGACAGAAAACACTCATGTAGGCTCCATGGTTGTCCTGGGAGCTAACATTTTGGGTTCGTTACCCTGAGCCTTTAATTCCAATCTGTGCAGATTCCTCTATGATCTACAAGGAGCAAATAGATGATCCAGAGCATAAGGAGCAATGGGGGCCTTTTCCACATTTTGCCAACTTTAGTTACAATGCTAGTACCTCATCTTATTATACTGATGACTTCCATCCTCTGAGATCTTATTTGGTAGTAAGTAGTAGGCAAGGTCCTATATATGAATTCATTCACATCACCCTATCAGCTTTATTCTATAGCAAAGGGTAAATAGAGCCTCCCTCCCCCCAGTCACACAGCCAGTAGTTGTGAGTGTCTGGATGGGATGGGAACCCTTTCATTTCTTAATGCTAATGTTACTGTACTTTAGGTGCTTATTGTGGCTGGTCAACTACATAGCTGTGTTCTACACAAGCACAAAGGTTTGGGCATTACATTAGACTTATAGAGCCAGCAACAATAATAAAGACCCGGCTTCCCTACTAGTCAGAATCTACCCAACGAGGTGTGAAATTACTGAACTGAGATACAGGGGGACATCTGCAGCATGTTCTTCGCTTCACCTCTAAAACAGAAACACAAAAAGCCAGATATTACACTTAAAGACCCCTGCTGTAGAGGTTGTTTCAACCTTAAATTATTACAGCTTCTGCTGTGTGGAGCTGAGCTGTCAGAGGCTTTCTCAGATGAAAACAGGTGGCAGCCAGCAGCTCTTCGGGTCGCTTCAGTGGACCTGACTGACTTAAGTCTTTTCTCTTTTCACCTTGGGTCAGTGAGCCAACCGCTGAAGCTGAATGGTCCACAAATGGAAGTCAGTCTTCCAAGACACCTGTGATGTCTTTATGATGATGAAGTGAACCCAGGCAATGCTCGGCCTAGAGCCAACACTAATTAGACACCAGCCCCTACGATTGCTACTACTTTTGCTGCTGCAATGACTACTAGTAGTTAATTCTTTGGGGATTGGTGAGAATTGCTTTCTCCTGCATAGTGGTCACACAAGCAAAACCATGTCAGAATGAACACAACCTATTAGACACAAAAATGATGGAGTTGGTGCTCATGAGACACACACCTTCATGTTTACATTATCTTTTTGTGTAGGGAGATTCAGGTGGACCTTTGTCTTGTCGAAGAAAGAGTGATGGAAAATGGATTCTGACTGGCATTGTTAGCTGGGGACACGGATGTGGAAGACCAAATTTTCCTGGTGTTTACACAAGGGTGTCAAATTTTGTTCCCTGGATTCATAAGTATGTCCCTTCTCTTTTGTAACTGTACCTGTTGGATTTTTAACTGTGACTTACATGATAGATTCTTGAAAAAAGAGTGTAATTGTGATCAATAAAATTAATTTTTTTCAACTGGAAATGTCAGATTGAGTACATCTGATATTCATTGCAAAGTAGACAAATTAATATATATTCCATAAAAATGAATAATGATATTCATTCCAAGGTATCAAAATGTTATCAACTCATGGATTGGAGGAAACTAAAGCAATGTCACAAACCAAGCCTCTAAAATAAAATGAGAACTAAGAGAGAGAGAGAAAGATATCTTGTCTGTGTGTTCCAACGCAAGCAGAGATGCTTACAAGGATTGAGACAAACATGGCACACAGCTAAGAAATTTCAGAGAAGCCATACCTGACCGTAATCATTCTCACAAAACTCCACGCACAAAAGAACGGTCCCTCACAAACAGACATAAAGCAAAACTTGGTAACTGGCCGAGGAGGGAGGGACAGACAGAGTTGCTATTCAATCTGATCTGTTCTACCCACGTCATGTTGGACCATGGCTGCACGGGGGCCATGCTGCATACAGAGAAACAGATCCACCTCGACACAAAACTGAGAGTGGATCCACTCCCACACCAAACTAAGGGTTTGCAGTCTTCAGCGAAGTGATAGAAAGCAGTGTGGTAAGAGTTGGCCTGAAGCACACCTGCGGGATCCTCATCTTGATAAAGGTGGCCCACAGTGAAGGGCCAGAGGCATTTTTGGTGAGTGTTCTGAAAGTTAAACTTTTCAGGTATGCTATCTCCTGGCTTTTCGTTCTTTTTGTAAAATTTAAATTGTCAGGATTTTCTTTTATTTTCCAAGCCTTTTAATGCTTTGAGTAGCTGTAAGTCTACAGGGCCCGCTCAGCATATTCCAGTTCTTGATTTATCTTTATTTAGAGAGTTTCTCACTACGTCTTAGAATAACGTTTTCACTGTCAGAGTCCCGAGTTAACCATGGCACCACAACTACAATGGAAGAAAAAAGAGTATTATTTATTTTCCCTGAAACAAAGTCAAAGGAGAAATAACAATACTATTATTAAATGGGGCTCAGAATACTGCATAGAACTGCAGAGAAAATTGAAAAGTGAAAGGAGAGAGAACAGAAAGTGTTATTTTCTGAATTAGTAAAAATGACTGAAAAATTCTGACTGCCCCAAGATAATGAGTATTCCCACTTCATGGAACATATTTTGATTTTCTAAAAGACTTTCTTTGGGAATAAGGACAAGCATCACAATTACAGCATCTCTCTGGTCGCTGGGGATATAACCCAGGGATAGACCATTTACCTGGGATGGACCCCAGTACTGTAAAGAAAAGATACATTTCTAAATATGTTTCCAAGATGTCTGGAGTCCCCACGTTGGTCTTAATAACTGTGTGTGTCGGGGGAAGTGCAGTGGCTCTGAGCAGCAGGTTGAGAGGCAAGGTCTTGGGACCAACACCCAACCCACACTTTGCTTTGCAAACGTAATTCCAGGCTCACTAAGCCAGTTCTAAGCTATGCATAGGGTGTGGAGGGCATTGCGTGTATGCGCGGGCTTAGCGACACAAGCTCTGTGTTTTTTCCTCAGGTGGGGTGTTTATGGCCCCTTCTCTCAAAGGAAAACAGTAATGAGCAAATCAGTAACGTTTTATGAGTTCTTGCTTCTGCCGGCCGCTTTCTTCTGCTCTGAGTAACACTCTGTGCGTGGGGACCTAACGCGTGCGTTGCAGACTTCCCAAATAGGCTGTCCTAGCTACTATCAGCAATACTGATACTGCCCTTATGCCTCAATCAGCTTGGAAGGGGAATTATGCGGCTGGGTATCATTCATTTGCATGTGCTCATAACCCAGCAGGCTGCCTGACACACGGAAGATTATTCATAGCTGTTTGTTGATTCGGTAGATGAACACCCTCGCTAGACAGTGAGGACTGGAGTAAGCTTCAGCGTCACACTGTTCCGGGGAGAAGGCAAACTGGGGACTGCATCCCCCCAGCCAAGCCTATCCCCTGCCACAGTCCAGCTTGCAAACACGCCATGTGAGCCGGTCTGGGTCTCCATCCACAGGGAAACGCAAGGCAGGCAGCACCCTGAACAAACCAGAAAAACAGCCCTCCTCTATTGTGGAGCCCAAGGCAGCAGGGTCCCACCCGCATCAACCTTTGCGGAGCAAGGTCAGCTCTCAAAGGCCAGAGAGCTTCCACTCGCTGGCTTCGCCCCTCCCCTTCAGGCCAGCCGCTACAGGTAGATCTGGCGCCGCCCGAGGACTACCTGCCGCGCCAGGTGGGTGGAGTGTGAGCTGAGGACTCTCCCTGTCCTGGACTCTGCACCCTTAGGTGCCTGGGTGTTGCCTCTCGACAGAACGTCTGTTCTCTGCGCTGCCATGGAAGCGGCCAGAACCCCATCGCCCCGGGAACAGCTGGAGCTCTCGATCCTGGAGGGGCAGCAGGAAGAGCTGACGCCTCTCAACAGCCTCCAGATCCAGCCTTCCTCCGCGGAGAGCTCTAGCCCAGCCCAGGTAAGGACTCGGAGCTCTGGCGTGTGACAGCAGGAAACTGGCCCCACACTGTTCAAGGGCGCTAGGGCTCCCTTTCAGCGTCGTCCGAGACGCGCAAAGAGGATGCCAGGCGAAAGAAGGCAAGAATGTCTTTGGCTGGACCCCTCCACTACTGAGACCTAGCCTAGAGACACTTCAGGAGCCCTGGAGAAGGGAGTGGCTTCTCCTTTCAATGGAGACAGACACCTAAGAGGTAGAGGAGGTGTCTGAAAGTTATATAATTTTTAATTTGGTTTTTCTTTCTTTCTCTTCTTTCTTTCTCTCTTTCTTTCTTTCTTTCTTTCTTTCTTTCTTTCTTTCTTTCTTTCTTTCTTTCTTTCTTTCTTTCTTTCTTTCTTTCTTTCTTTCTTTCTCAAGTAAGAAGAGAACGATGGGTTGAATCATAGTCGCTCTCTCTTCCTCTTCCCCCTCAGCACCCCACCACCACCAACACTGGGAGTAGACAGTCCACTACCTCCTATCTCTACCCAGTTCTATGTCCTCTGCCCTTCCCCATCTTCAAATACACAGTGTTTCTCCTTCTTTGGTCGTTGCTTCCTCCGGAAGAGAGATAGGCAGAGAACACAAGGAGGAAAGAACCGTGGCCAGACATAGGGTTGGCCCTGGTGAACTTACCGGCTCAGAGAAGAAGAGAAGTAACATCAAAGGTCTACCTAAGAACTAGCCTTGCTGTCTTTTCATCTCTGAGGAAGTCCTTGGGGTTGTGTAGGTTCAAACTCTTTTCTGATTCAGCCATGGCAGTGGCTGAACTTCATCCACAGATCAAATATTCGTAAAACATCAGAGAGTTTGAATTCTGAACCACCTGTCTTCTGATTAACCCCTGAGGTTAGCTTGAGTTTCACTGGGCACACTCAACTCTCTGGACACATCGTTTGAGTGTGGTGTTTCTCACCCCACTCCACCTCCATCCCTCTTGTGCCCAAGTGATGATTTTAGTAGGAAATCTAAAGCTTGAAAACATTACTCTTGGTCCTCAGCAACTCCTGGAAATGGTGTGGCAATACCTTATTTCATAAGTACCTTGGAGAAAAAGTTGGCACCTTAGGTTTGTATGAAATGGGACCACAGATGAATTAAATTTGGAAAATAAGGCTGAAGGCTAGTGCAGGTAGCCATAGCTAGGAACTTTCTGTATGATCCTCCAGGGCAGGGGCTGGGCATGGGAATTAGAAATAATTGCTTCAAGTCAGTTAGGTCCACCACATCCCCAAAGATTCAGGTATTCTCTAGAAAAAAAAAAAGGTGTGAGCTCGGACAAGGCTCTGAAATGATGTAATATCTTATGCTCCATTTAGGCTTCTGGAAGCCCTGGACCACCTGTGGACAACAATTGAGAAAAAGCCAAATCCATGCTGAGTATCAGAATTCTATAATTGCTTAGCACCTGCCTTGTGGAGATTATGCTTTCATGTCCTAGTGGCTTCCTTGTTAGTCAGATGTACACAGATATGCCAGACTTCCTGGTAATATAGCCTTGTACGTCACTAAATAGTAAAGTTTCAGTGACCGGTGGAATGGAGTGAGGGTGAAGGGATCCATGAGAACCCGAAGGGCCTTCTAGAAATACTTGAATGGTGACATTTTTATTAGGAGAGAATGGACAAAAAAAACCTCAAAACTTTCCCCTAGTGTGCTAATCATCCTGATTCTATAGAACAGGTGAAAATGCACTTCAACATGAAAGATCAGTTATTGGGGTTCAGTAAGGACTGTCTTGCATAAGCACAGGTTTTAGATGCTTAAGGTTTTTGTGTCAGGGTCTTCAGTTGTGTGATACTAGTTCTGACTTTGATGCTTGTTTAAGTCCATATACTTTCCATGCTCTACATTTTGTGCCTATCTTATGTGAAATATCGTGACACATAAATGTAGTTAATTATTATCAGCTTAGAAGGAGATGTGCTTGTTAGCATAAACCATCATCTTGAGACAGCCTAGAATCACCTGACAAGAGAGTCTCGACTGAGTAATTGTATCGGGTTGGTATGTGATATGTTTGTGAGGGATTGTCTTGATTATCAACGGGTACAGGAGGGTCCAGGCCACTGTGGGGGATACCATTCCTAGGGAGGTAGCCCTGGGCTGTAAGAAAACTGATTAATCATGAGCCGGTGTGGGAGCCAGCCAACAGCATTCTTCCATGGATTCTGCTTCAAGTTCTTGCTTGAGCGCCTGTCCTGGCTTCCCTCAGTGATGGCCTGTGGCCTGGAAGGGTAAACCAAACAAGCCCATTCTGTCTTCTCCTAAGTTGTTTTTGCTCAGGGTGTTTATCACAGCGACAGAAATGAAACCAGAGCAGGGAGAGTACTAGTTTTCTGGTTTCACAGATGAAAGAGCTGAGTGAAGAAACTTAGGCTCAGAGATGCAACCAAACTGCTCAGGTTCACTCAGTGGAGCCCCCTAACATTTGGCCTCAGAGCTGCAAGGCCTCAGATCTATGCTGTTAATCAATTTTAAGAAAATACTACATTTATTTCCTCTGTGCGTATGTGTGTGTATATGTGCCATGGTGCACATATGGAAATCAGAGGATGACTTTCTGGAGTCAATTTTTTTTTCCTTCTAACATGTGTAGAGAGATGTTTTCCTGTCCTGACCACCTGCTCCCAAATACCCAGCAGCTGCTTCCCAAATTACCACACAGAGGCTTGATATTATTTATAAATAATTGGCTGATAGCTCGGGTTTGTTACTAGCTAACTTTTATACTTAAATTAACCCATATTTCTTATCTATGCTTTGCCACATGACTCATGGCTTGTTACCTCATTTTTTATACATCCTGCTTCCTCTGCGGCTGGCTGGCATCTCCTCTGACTCTGCCCTTCTTCATCCCATCGTTCTCAGTTTGGCTTTCCTGCCTAACTTTTTCCTGTTCAGCTATTGGCCAGTCAGCTTGTTTACTAAACCAATCACAGTGACGAATCTTCACAGTTACAAAAGGATTTTCCACAGCAACCATGTGTGACCCAGGGATCAAATTCAGGGTGTCAGGCTTGGCTGCAAGGACCTTTACCTGCTGTACCATCTTGCTGGCCCCTGCTAATTGATACTATCATGCATAGATAAATACATATGACATGATTTATACCATTTCACTTACAGTTGCCTCAACTACAAATTATGTATTACTAATAAATATATACAGTTAGGTAATATATTTATTTTTAAATGACACATGAGGACCAGAGTGGCAGATCTAGCTGCTGAGGAAATCTCAGGTGAATGGGTGAATGGATGATGGGCGGGGAATAGTACTGAGATCACAGCATCCCATCAGTGTAGGTGTCTTCCTGTTTGGAAAAGTCAAGCTAGGAGAGTATGTAAGGAATTTTTCTCCCTTTCTTAATCTGGATTTGGAATGTAGGGGGAAAGGAATATAAGCCATGGAACTCCATTTTGCCTACTGTTATCACAGGTTAATACCCTTGGGCAAAATTTACAAAAAAAAATTGTAGGTGATAAGGTGAGACTGGAGGCCCTGACTCAGCAGCCCAGAGACATCTTAAGTGATGACATCATCATTGTATTAACAATAAATGAGTAAATTGAGTGTTCTGTGGTAACCAAGGCTTATTTGAGCTAACAAATTAGCCCTATTGCTGTGCGTCATTCAGTCTTGAACAGGAATCAACTGACTCTTTTGTGTTTTGGATGAAAGGTGTGTTTTGATCAAATGCCAACATGTCCCGATCCTGTATTAATGTCACATATTTGGTAGTTTACCTGGGGAGGTGGTGGATCTCTTGTAGAGTGTTCGGAGAAAAGCCTTGAAAATTCCACAGCTGTCTAATGCAATCATCGAATGCAAGGTGGAGTTTGCAAGCACCTTGTGAAAGAACCTGCCTGGGGCCTTTCAACAGATCACTGGTACACACCAAATTAGATCCAACTAACCTTAGCAGCAATAAAACCCTGAGTTGTTGGACCTGAGCAGTTACTCAAGGTTCATGTGTTGAAGGTTTGGTTTCCAAATGCCGCAATGTACAACAATGGGGCTTTCGAAGGTAATTGAATCCTGAGGGCTTTGACTCCACTTATGTTGCTAAATTCATAATTTGATGGCGGGATTGGAAAATACTGGATACTTTAGGAGGTAGAGCCTACTTGGAGAAAGGGGTATGTCCTGGAAGGCTCTGATTTGTGCCCCACTCTGTTGCTAGAGTTTTCCTGCCTGGCCCACAGTCAGGGCAAATCTCTCTCACCTGCTAGTCCCACAGCCACTCAGACCCGACCAAGTAAACACAGAGACTTATATTGGTTACAAACTGTATGGCCGTGGCAGGCTTCTTGCTAACTGTTCTTACAGCTTAAATTAATCCATTTCCATTAATCTATACATTGCCACATGGCTCGTGGCTTACCGGCATCTTCACATGCTGTTTGTCATCGTGGCGGCTGGCAGTGTCTCTCTGACTCAGCCTTCCACTTCCCAGCTTTATTCTCCTCCTTGTCCCGCCTACACTTCCTGCCTAGCCAATGGCCAATCAGTGTTTTATTTATTGACTAATTAGCAACACATTTGCCATACAGAACATCCCACAGCACCACTCCTTCGACATTTTCTCTTTGCTTTCTGATTATGAGGTGAATGGTCTCACACTCCCAATGCTGTGGTGTTTTGCCATGGAGTTAGCTGACCATGGACCCAAACCATGAAAACTACCTATTACACCATAGTCCAAATAAATCTTTGAGTTGGTTTTCTCAAGTATTTTGTTATAGCAAGGGAAAGCTAACACACACATGCTTTGCAGTAGGCTCTAGCTTTTCACTCTCTAATTTCAATTTCATGACTCTTTATGACACTACATCCCAATCCTTAGATTATTCTGTCAGCGAATTCTGTTACGAATCAGCAAATGCTGGTTCCTGGTTTTTTTAATACCTTCAAAAACCCTGCCTTCCATGTACAATGACAAAGATCAAGTTCTCACTTATATGCTGAAGTTTAAAATGTTGATCTTGCAAAAGCAGAGAGCAGAAGCATCGTTATCACAGCCAGGGAAGGGAATAGAAAACAGAGGGATGGGCAGCAGGTGGTCAATATGTACAGAGGTACAGTCAGACAGGGGAACGCCTCACAATGCTCTGTAGCACAGTAGAGAAATGACGGTTGACAATGAATTGTACATTTAAAAGCAACTAAAAATAATAAACATTGGAGATGATGTGTCTACCACTATACCTGACACATGGGTTTGGAAATATCTCAGTGAACTCCATAAATATATACAGTTTTCACGTGAGTTAGAAATAAATACAAGCCAGGCAGTGGTAATTCACACCTTTAATCTCAGCACTTTGGGAGGCAGAGGTAAGTGGAGTTCTGTGAGTTTGAGGCCAGTCTGGTCTACAAACTGAGTTCCAGGACAGCCAGGGCTATCACACAGAGAAATCTTGTCTCAAAGTAAAATAAAATAAAATAAAATAAAAAGGAAGAAAATGAAATAAAAGAAATACAAGTTTTTAAAATTCTAATAATAAAAATCCTGCCTCCTGTCTCCACTTCAAAACTCCTAAAGGGCCTTTGGCTAACTTCCTCTTGAGGTTCCATTCTGCCCTGTTGTAAGTTTGATTTAGTGTATTGTATCCCCTTGAGACCTTAATTCTGCATCAGTCTCTAGTAGGACTTTGAGACTATTTGTTGAAACCCAATGAATACCTCACAACTTCCCTTTGTTTTCTAGACGGACAAGGAAAGTCCCTGGAGTCCCTGTAACAAGATCGTGGTTGGAAGATGTAAACTGTGGATGGTCATTGTCACCATTTTCGTGTGTTTCGCTATAGTGATCATTATAAGTTTATGCCTTGTAGGAGGTAAGGATTCCATTAGCTATGTTGACACATTTGAAGACCTTATTGAATGCTTGTGGCTTCCACTGAAATGGAACATGTACTCACTGCTATTTTACTATTTGTAACATGAGTTGAAATAAGGCTTGGGCAGCTGGTCATGATGATTTACACCTGTAATCCTAGTCCTTGAGAGGCTGAGAAGGCATCTCTAGTTAAAGACCATCTTGGCCTATATTGTGAGCTTGAGGCCAACCAGGGGGTACAAAGTGAGACCTTGTCTCAAACAAACAAACAAACTAAAATCAAATAGAATGAAACTGGCTTGAAATATGTTGTGTGAGTGTGAGAGATACACAAATCTCTCTCTCTCTCTCTCTCTCTCTCTCTCTCTCTCTCTCTCTCTCTCTCTCTCTGTTGCTTGTTTTAAAATGGAAGAAGTATGAAGACTATTATTTTTCTTTAAAATTTTCTCATTGGTTTCCAAATAAGTTCCTTAAATTAAAAAAATATATAATATTTATTACTTTAAAATTCTGTATCTAGATGTGTGTGTGTGTGTGTGTGTGTGTGTGTGTGTGATATGTCCATATGTGCACATGAGTGCAGGTGCTGCAGTAGTCCAGAAGAGGGCACTGGAGCTTTGGAACTGTAGAGACAAGCTGTGAGCTGCCCTGTGTGGGTGCTGAGAACTGAACATGTGTCCTCAAAAGAACCCGAAGCACTCTATCTCTCGGCCATCTTTCTGCTGCTTCAAATTTGAACTTGAACACTAATCTACGTTTTATTACATTTTAATATCTGCCTCTTTGAATTTTCTTACCATTTGTTTAAGGAAAATTATTTAGTATATTTGGTACTAAATGATAAAATAATAAGTAATATATTTGAGAGAGTTAAAAAAAAAAAACTTTACTGAGGTATGTGGCAATAAGGCAGTGGTTTTTAACCTGTGGATTATGGCCCCTCTGGAGGTTGCATATCAGATATCCTGTATATCAGATAGCTACATTATGATTCATAACAGTAGCAAAATCACAGTTATGAAGTAGCAACAAAATAATTTTATGGTTGAGGCTCATCACAACATGAGAAACTGGATTAAAGGGCTGCAGCTTTAGGAAGGTTGAGAACCACTTATTGAATAAGCTGTCACTATTTTAACTTATTTTAGAAATAATGATTTCATTTGTATTGAATATGTCTGTGAAACAAGCATTTGCATGATACTAACAATATACTTTATATATATTATCTCACTTTATGGCTGCGTGTTTTGAATTAGAAGCAATACAGTTTTAGTCATCTCCTTCCATATTATTAATAGTTTATCATGTTCTTCTTCTTTTTTTCTTATTTGCATTTTTAGCTTGAGATCAGATTTTTATATTCTAGCCCATCTTTGTGATTCTAATGTTATATTGAGATAATTTTACCAGGTCATTAAAATTTTTATGAAATATATATATATATATATATATATACACACACACACACACACACACATATGGTATATAGTCTTCTATATGGTGATTACAGTGTATATAGTCTTCTATAGCATTTAAAAGGTCTTTTAGGTTGCTACTATTTTAAGAATTATGTTCTGCATTTTTCAAAGTTTTAAGATGCATAAAGAGTTTTTACATCAAAATTGAGGGAAAAATTATTGTTTTACTGGTGCATGGCCGTGGTTGGGGGGAGGGGTGTTCATCCAGAGGTGGGGTTCTCCTAAGGTGGTGTGACCTCCAAGAGGTCTGAGTTAGGTTCTCAGGAGCAAACAGTCACAGAATGTCACAAGGACAGGGAACTCTGAGTCTCTCTGGAGGGATTCTTGGGCACTTCTTCTTTTTCAGAAAGCCAATTTGCCTGTTCCTTCCTTCAAGTGTGATAGTCCCTGGGAACTTTTCACAGCCTTGAATCTCAGATAAGCAGCCTGTCTACTTAGTTGATGTTGTTTGGGTGGAATGGGTAATTCCTTGAGGCTGTGAGCTTGTTTTAAGTAGGGAGCATCTCTGAGGTATGTTGAACCTCCTCCACCACACTGAGGACAATGGCTTTGTTATGATCATTGACACTGTCTTCACATCAGCTGCCACAGGTGGATGCTGAAACCAAAGTTGAGTCACAGAGTCTCCTCCCGTCTCAAGTCCCTGGTGCAATCCTGAAAGCTGGCTGATTTGCCTGGTAGCAGCCAAAGAGCTAATCATAAAGCAGGTGGTTTAATATTCAGGACTTGAAACACAAGACTGGATGTCTATCTCGTCTCTAGAGATCACTGGATTTTAACCACAAAAAGCTATCTGCAGAGAGCTATTCAGTTACCTTGAATGATTTTTTTTTCAGGAGATGTGAAAAGCCATACGGTAAAATTCCAAAAATAACTTTAATATGATTGCAAATTTGCATTTTAACATATGTCAATGTTATAAGAGAAATCTACAAAATAACTTTTTTCCTCCCTGGGAAGGAATTATTGTATTTGGAATCTTGCCTGTCGGGCTCTAGGGCTTGCAGGGAGAATCACGAAAGACTAAAGAAATGGAAACTAATTAAATAACTTTAATTTTGAAATAGTACATGTTCAGTTAATGTGCCAGCTAGTTTTATGTCCACTTGACCCAAGCAAGAGTCACTGGAGAGGAGCGAGCCTCAGTTTGAAAAAAAATGCCTCCATAAGATGAGGCTGTACACAAGCTTGCAGCACATTTTCTTAATTAGAAATTGATGTGAGAGGGCCCAGAAGAAAGCAGGCTGAGCATGACATGAGGAGCAAGCCAGTAAGCAGCACTCCTCCATGGCCTCTGCTCCTGTCTCCAGGTTCCTGCCCCAGTTCCTGTCTTGACTTCCTTCAATGACGAACAGTGATGTGAAGGCATAAGCCAAAAACACTTTTTTGGTTTTTTTTTTTTTTTTACTTTTGGTGCAGTAGCAACCCCAATGAACAGAGTAACGTATACCATTAATAGTTTGTAATACTTTCTTCCTTTCTCTGATTTTCATTTTAAAATAATTTGAGATTATTGTTTCAAGACAGCAGCTTTCCTCGAAGGTCTTACGATCATTTTGACATCATTTTGTTACATCACTAAAAATTCAGGGAAGAATCTGAGTGGAGTAATGTAGACCACAATCGATTAAAAAAGAGCAAGCCAGCAGGCTGCCCTGGGTGATCGTGCTGGCCACGCCTAGAGCGTCTCTGCTAGTAGTTCTGGGATGACAGACGGCAATCATCAGCCCTGCCCAACTGCCAAGCCCACTGATATGAATCACATATTTGCAGAACTTAAGGTACTGTTTGGGAAATAGGTGGTGTTGGGAGAACCAGGGGTCAAGATTTACTGAGACAAAAATGTTCCTCCGGATCCATATTGCCCACTCCCCTCCCATCTTTCCTCTCTCAAATCTCCGAACCTCTGATCTTAAGGCTCTTTAGTTTCCTGACAAGCTGGGCATTGAGCAGGAACTAACTATGGACTGGAAATAGATTCAGAACAAGACAAGTGAGTGCATCCTGCACAACAAAGGTAACTAAGCTGAGCAATAAGGGACCCACGGCAAGGTGTCCGTGAGTAGGTTGTAACTGCCATTGTTAAGATGCAGCTGGCCTGTATGTAGTGGTATTTAAGGCAAGATGGTTGGTCTTAGTTTTGCTCTTAGTCCTCTAAAGACTGAACATTTGTGATTGTCTAACATGTGGGGTGGGCTCACCTCCTCCTCTGCTCGGCTGTGTACCTAAGTGACAGGTAATTTACCATCATTTACTGTCGCGACTCACCTTGACGCTTGGTGTACCGACTGTGTACACAATAGGGCCGAGAGGCCATCACCCCACGAGATTCAGTTGACATTGACATTTTTTTTTAATTGACAATTTTATGGGTGGAGTCTAGTGAAACTTACTGAATTTGGAGAACTGATTTTGTTCCAGCTCTGCAGAGAATTCTATTAATGGACAATTTCCTCCTTCTTGAAAAACTATATAATTTTTGGTGTGAAGGGTAAAGGGGGTATCTTAAGCACTGTTCTATTGCTGTGAAGAGACACCATGACCAAGGCAACTCTTACAAGAGAAAGCACTTAATTGGGGGCTGCTTACAGCTTCAAGATTTAGTCCATTATCATCATGTTGGGGATCATGGCACATACAGGCTGGCATGTTGCTGGAGGAGTAGTTGAAAGCTATATCCTGATCTGCTGGCAGAGAGACAGAGAGAGAGAGACAGAGATGGAGAGAGACTGGAGACTGGCAGGGGCTTTTGAAAACTCAAATCCCACCCCCACTGACACACCCCCTCCAAGACCACACCCATTCCAAAAGACCACACCTCTTACTCCTTCCAAATAGTTCATCAACTGGGTGCTAAGCATGCACATATATAAGCCTATGGGGCCCATTCTCATTCAAACCACCACACCACGTTGCGCAGGCAGGGCATCTTCCTCTTTCCCTCTCAGTCATTTTCGTTGTAGATAATTTGGAGAGCCAATCAGGCACCTTCAAGTGTTTCCTTTTACTCAGGTACCTTGGTTAGAACAGAGTAATACCACAGAGAGATGTGCCTTGTGACAAACAGGTGAATGCTTGGACATGCTGTAAAGTTAGAGCACTCTGAGTGACCCCCACATGACCTCCCCCAGCATCGCAGCTGACCCTTCCATCCTCTTAGTTCATGGTGCCTGTTGTAGGAAGGAACATGGGGACATGCTTGAAGCAGGGACTTTCTAAGTGAAGCAGCATTGAGTGGATGACTCCGCTCTTCAGTAGAGGATGGGACTTTCATCTTTCCGTGTCACATGAACCTGGCACACTGTTTTCACGGGGAGATACTTTATGGTTTGGGTGACTCATGGGGAAATCCTTGGCAGATACAATGAACAGCTGTAACCTACCAAGGTCCTTCAGGGCAGGAACTTAATTGCTATTCCCTAGATCCACTTTCTTAAAGTTACTTCACATTTTTGCCTGTCAGGTTTTCCACCAAATCTTTGGTGATTTTCCACCTTCCCAAGACTCAGTTCTCGTG